TCCATGAGATTCTGGCACGGTCGTACGAGAATCGAACGAAAAATCGTTTCGTGGTCGTGGACCGTACCGAGTAACTCGATTTATTCTTTAACAAATTCAAACGCTTTGACGGTGCTCTATGTTTTCTTTTTATATTCTGTCTCTTGCGTATGTATTGCGTGTACATGTGCGTGTATGTGTGTAAGCATGTTCGTTTCACGCGCGTATATACGCAGATTTATTTGCATCCCGTGCAACGATTGCTGAAGCGTGTTTCAAAGACGAGCGATTTCCGTTCAAATTTCCGAACCCAGACAGTTCGTCGCGCGATTTTGAGTTGAGGAACAGTTGTCAGTGAACAGAACTCGTTTCGACGATCAGATCAAATAAGTAGCAACCTCGTCCACTTGCAATTACGGACAATTTTCATTCGTCCATTTTGTGGACCATTCTACTTTCAAAGCGGCAAGGAATCGGATATCGAAATAACGACAGCTCGACCGAAAGGCTGCAATCTTTAATAATACGGGAAACTGAATATATATATATATGTACGATGTACATGAATCGAACATTGAATCCAAGGTTGGATGAAAATTACAAAACTAGGAAAAATATGTGGGGGAAAATGTAGACCGCGTTCGCTGCGTCGCAAAAGTACGCAATTTTTGCGGCAGAAAAATCGCATCAACTGGAACCGAAAGGAACTCGTAGCTCTCGATTGTCCGCGTTCCACTCCTATCTCGTTGTACAACAAATGCCAGGGATGCACATACCTCGGCGTGGCCAACGTGTTCGTATTGCGGTTCGTGTGTGTACGTGTGAGAGCGCGCGTGCGCGTGCATGTCAGTGTCCCTTTAACGCGCCTGTGTAGGCGCATTTTCAACCTGTCTCTCGCCAAGGCGTCCTCTTCGAATGAACTACCTGACGAGATGTATATATATCTACGTACACACACATATATATGCACGTAGATATATAAATACGTAGATATATGCATGTAGCGTATATCGTAGATAATACGAAGAGCCTAGTGTCCTATCGTTCTCTTCCTATGAACGGTGCGGATCACCGGAAACTCGAAAAACCAGCCGTAACAACGCACGACTCTGAGGCTCGACTTCCGATCAGTTGGACATCCAAACGTAGGAGAAACATCGTTGTGAACGTTGTTCGCGTAATCCTAGCATGGAACAGGTCGTGATAGTCGTCATCGTCATTGTCGCAGTAGTAGTAGTAGTAGTAGTAGTAGTAGTAGTAATAGTCGTCGTCGTCGTCATCGTCGTCGTCGTGTTCGCGTTCCTCGCCGTCCGCACCGATGCGCAACGCACGATCCTCGTCGACCGCCGATGTTTTGAGTCGGCTGTCTGTACTTTTTTAAATCACGTGACGATGATGTGCGGCGCCGACAGTAGGACGGTGATGGTTGCGATGATGGTGAACAGAGTAAAAATGATTAGGCACATTCTGTCGATCACCATCGCCGCGAACTTCCAGTCGTTCGTCACTTTTGTGTTCACCTCTTCGCTCTTCAGCTGATCCGTGATTATCTGAAACAGAAAGATCGTGGCGATCATCCTCCCTCTCTCGAGTAATAGAAAAACCGATTGCGATTTCAGGCAAGTTCTCGACAGATTGTCGAGTCGAATCGGTCAGTGTTCAATGTTGATATCTTTGGAGAGGATGGTAGATTAACAAACAGGAAACTGACGATAAATTGAAAATAAAAAGTAAGAGAGAATTTGCACGTTACGTCGTTCATCCTACGAATATTTCATTTTTCATGGCGAACTTGTGGTTTAAAACGAAAAGAAATTATTAACGCGTCACAACCTTCGAAGTCGTATCTTCTGCTCCCTGAAATATTAACGCACAATTGAAAACTTCGCGTATCTGTTTGAAATTACGTCGGTCACATTCGTTATCCCGTTGAATGCGTTAATGTGAAACACGATGATATAATATGCATATTCAAAGTCCTAATTTATCCCTGAACGCAGCCTCTCTCCTCAACTTTGATCGCTCTGTGACTTCGTAATCTCTCGTCTGAGACCAATTTATTTACTTGGTGTAGGTACAAGCAAACCGAATATCCCATGATTATATACATATATCATAAACTCTACGAGCGCACGTAATAATGATAATTGCCGGCGGCCTCGGCAATCAATTGCTTTGAGAAAAATGTTGTTCAACGCCTCTCGAGAAGAACAGAAACACGCGCGATTATTGTCTAGAATTGTCTCAATCACGGGACCGCAATCGGACCTGAAGTTTCCATTCAAATATTCGGTTCATAATTATGAACACACCGATAGCTTTCGAGTGTTGAACTTTCTCGTGTTAGTTCTGAGACATGGACGAGAAATAGACGGGCTTTAATAATCCTGCACAAACAGTCGTACAACAGAGAATGGTTTCACGTTCGTCAGCAGACCTCGACTCCTACGAGTATTATACATACACTCTACACACGCGACTTTACACGAAAGTTTCTGCACTTACGGGCAAATTAAAATGAGTGTATATACACTTGGTAATTAGCCGTCGTGTATATTTCACGAGGACCCTCGTTAATTGTCATTCTCGTTATTATTAATGGACGGCGCTTCTTTCTATTGAAAATAAAAAAAAAAACAAACGACTCCAGAGTTTGTAAAACCTCTGTCGGGTGCTTGAGAGTACAGCAAGTAGACGCTCTTGTTTAATAAAAGAGAGACCCGAATTACGTGGCAACACGTGTGGCGAGTTTCTAATTCGTATTTTAAACCACCGACAAGCGCGAAGCGAAGTGCAACGTTGGAGGGAAATTGGATCGTTGGAATGAAACGTAGAAATCTGAGGATTTCGTACTGCTTTTAAACTTTTTTTTGGACAGAAGAAGAGAGAGTGTTACGATTACCTTAATTTCTTTGAGGATCATAATGAGTTCGTTTCGAGCACAGAAACACGCGTTTTGCAGTATCGTTTCGACCTGAGGGCCTGGCGTATCTGGTGGATGCGGATGATGATGCGGCGTGTGGCCAATCTGAATCGCCGCCGGATAAGAGGAGTGTGCCAATGGCGTCGAGTGTTGATGATGCGGCGTTGCAGCGTGGCTGTGATGATGATGAGGCGTCGTGTGAATGTGACTGTGCCCGTGACCCATCGTATGATGGTGAGGACCAGGGGTACTGTACACGTTATTCAGGAGGTTATTATGTGACGCCAGAGCGTTGTCCTCGAGATCCAGGACATTCGCTAGGAGGGACTTGCTGCTCCTCTGACGAAGCTCCAGGTCACCGTGACTTTTGCTAGCACCTGTTCCGAACAAAATTCAATCGCGTTAATAGGTGGGTGCAACTGTCGACTAGCAACTGAAACCATAAGATGCAGAAGAAAGAACAAAGGGACAACAGCTGAGAGTAGGGTTCCCTTGACTTTTCCAGATGACACGGGAAATGAACAATTTGACAGGGAAAAGGTAATAGTATAGCGTACGATTTTTTTAAAAGTATTCTTTTGGTTTTACAGAGATGTAAATGATGGTGTAACTGGCCAAAGGAGGAAAAGAGTAAAAATTTCTGGCAACATTTTACTTTCTGAGACACAGTGTATACTTTGCGTAGTATCAAGTGATGTATCCATCCACGTACATTAATTGATACATTAAGTAAATCAGGTGTGCTTTGGAGTGCTTTGTGCCCAACGCTTTAACAGTGAGATCGGTGAATGAACACGATACAGAGAAATATCGATAAACACGTAGATAGTAGTAAATATGTTGTCAGTACTTGTGTCGATGCTTTTTCGTGTCACTAAATTACCGGTGACTGGAGACGGTTTTTGAGACTTTTGCGCCTCTCTCTCTTCTTTATCAGTTGGTCGTGACATACGGAGTATACAAGGCAGCCAATAAAGGAATACCACTTTCACCTGAAAGTTCGAAATGAACACGATAAATATAACATGACGATGAGATTAATTTTTGTTACTTTGCGATTGCTCTTGGCTAACAAGTTAATGGGAAATGTCGTTTGCGATAATCATTTGTGAGATCGTTGTCTCTCGCAACTAGCCGTAACGCACGGTAAATAACAAAACGGAGGGAGCTTAGTATCACTCGAAGGGATGAATCCCGTTAACGGACAAGGTAAACTTGAAGTAGTATACATATTGGAAGCGAGCACATGAGCTAATGGAAATTACATATACGATATCGGATTATCTGAGAAACTTTACTTCCACGCTGTGTGTGTAGATATTCCGGCGAGGCGAGTTCTTCGACTTCTCTGATAATAATACGAAATAATGAAACTTACAACGTGCAAATACTTTTCTACGATCATTTCTGGAAGAAAAGAATGTAAATGCTAAAGTACTTTTCACGAAACGCAATGCGAGATAGCATGCTACTCGATAGTTTAATAAAAGTTTCTTGATACCTTGTGGTTAAATTATTTCTTTAGAATGATTTGCTTACCCATTCGGACATTTCATGAGTGTCAGAGTTCCGATGATGATAATTTAAAATGAGAATGGTGCTGACAACACTGCTGGCCACCATAAACATAATACAGTTGAAGTACGTCCCTGTGAAAATATGAGAAACAAATTCGAGAAAAGTATAACCAACAACAAGTGACAAGTTAGTTAACCGTCTAGTCAAATTGGGCATCGTTGTGTAAATAATGTTTATGTTGTAAGTTACGTCGAAATTAGTAGCGAAATTAGTCGATACACTGAGATTGAAATATCAACCGTGTAACTTCGAAACGCTCTCCTCGGGTATTCCTAATCAAGATATCAACGGACGTTATTCCAACTCCGCGTCTGATTTGTACGATCTGTTACTACTGCCAGTGGAATAGTTTCTCGATGCAATAATCTTCAGTCGAGGATAAAGGACTGTACACAACAAGCATCACTGTTTATTACTGGTATGAAGTACCGGTACAGTATGTGATCCAAGCACCGAGATCGATCGATCGATCGATCGATCGTGCAGGTTTATGAGACGGAACGTGTTTACGAATGTTCTCTGTCATATCTTGGTCTCTCGGACATTGAAATATTCAAGACAGTAACCAACGTTTCGCCCCATTTATAAATATTAAAAAAAAAAAAAGAAAGAAAGAAAGACAAGAGACTCTGAAGGATAAAAACCGATGAAAGCAAAATCACACGGACTTACCCAGCAGAGGCACGGCGTCCGAAGTCGCTGGCATTGTCTCGGCCACCATATTCAGGAACACAGTAAGGGACAAGAGAATGGTTACCCCTGCAAACGAGATTCGTTCGAGCAATTAATCATCAGGAAAAGGTAACTCGGTCAGCCAAGCACGAGTGATTAATCCACAACTGAAGGCTGAAACGTTAACAGTTATTATTGATATATTCGAGTGGATCATTCCTATTTGGGTTTCCGAACTTTTGCTGAAAGTTGTCTGATTACAATGTAATATTAGACTGATATTGAATTGAAACGTATGTTCGTCTTTGACTTTGTAAATGGAGACAGAGAGATCGACAGATCGAATCTCGACTTGTTACTCACAGGCGGTGCGTCGAGATCGATTTTACGCGAAACTTTGCACGCAATTACAGAACGAGGTGGAAGGGACGAACTTTCACGAGCTATGCATGTACAATCTCCAGTCCAATAGTTTCTAATTCCCGTAAGTAACTCGTAGCTACGCTTCTGCTTGTTAATTAGCGCGAAATGAATCTTCAACTTTCCAAAATATTCGAACACGCGTTTAATAAAATGATTTGGTTGCTGGGATCAAAAGCGGAGCGAAAGCACGGCGATCGATAAATTCCAGTATTCCGCTGGCCTATGAATGTCTGCGAATCGACATCGACACGACTGTAATCTCTCGTACAATTCAATACGCGCTGCTCGAGAACTCGACTGAATCTAATCACGTGAGCTGTTGTAGCGTGCTCCAAAGCCTGCTAGGAATTGCAATTATGTTAGCGGACGATTTGAACTTGCCAGCGGAGAGAGTGGTCTGCGGCCAGCGGAATCTCGGGGAGCAATCGTAACGAAATAATGCGACGACTCGGAGGAACGCATCTCGCCACTGAATCGAACGAATAATATCACCGCCGAATAACCGGTCAAGTTTTTACTAATCACGATTGACGATCGGTAGTTGTACAACAATACACGTAGGATTAGCAGAGAAACAAACATGAAAATTCGTCCGGCTGCTTTAACCTTTTGCGGTCGTATGTCTGCTCTCAGCCACCACGGCAAGGAACCATTCTAATCTTATACTGTATTCATGTAT